AACTTGCTTTGCTAGGCAGGTATGTCGCTTTCCAAAAAATAACGAATTTTCATTTGTTGAAGAGTACTGAAACTGCAATAAACAATGCAACATACCAAAGCACGATTACCCAGTTTATTGAGCTTCTTGAAATTAAAAGAACCTGACTGTTGATTCCAGGAAGACGGCTTCACTTGTCATACATCAAATGAAACCATGCAGTTCTTAAGTGGGTTTTTCGGCAACTACGTAATTTCGAAAGGATCATTATTTTCGTGTTCATCCGATTTATTGCCCATAGATTTTATCCTGCGGGGATATCTTTAAAGGAAAGGTTTTGTACAAAGAATTTGCATACACTGGAGAACCTGAAAAAGGAGCATTAACGACGGCGGGTAACATCAGTGTACAGTTACTCCAAAAATGGCCTTAAGTATGGTAAAATAAGTTCTGAATAGAGCTGCCATTTCCAGCATATGTTGTACAGACAAGATTTGATGTTGCATTTTTACAATGTAAGACAATAGACATTAGTAACAAATATTGTATGTCTGATAGTTCATGTATTAAACCAGAAAGTTTACTTGCTTACTCTCACGTCTGCCACTTTTCGTTCACTCAGTATTTCAACATTACTCAAAGTGCATTTTCACCCAAATAAGCAAGCAGAGATTTAAAAAGTTATTATTTATACTTCTTAATAACATTTTGCAATAAGCGTTTTACATAGTATTTGGGATAAATAAAATACCTTTCTTATACCTTAAACAGCCGATTCTAATAAGGTAAAATTAAAAACAAAAATATTTTCATCACCAAAGGGAAGATTCAGATCCAGAATCAAACAAAATCATTATCAATGAAAGTGATGATGGAGATGTGATAACTTATGAAGAAGATTCAAATCTCCAGGAATCAAACATTATTTCTGATAATATGCAAAGCATAATGACATCAAAATAATGCAGAATTGAGAAACTCATGTAAAACAAATTTCCAGATTAACAATTAAGTAGCTGGGCGATAAATGCAATATATTGCATTGCCATAATTGGAAATTTATTTTTTATTGTATAAGACAACTTTTCAAGAATTAAATTATTTGAATGCAACAATGCACAGCTACCTGCCTAGGATTTGTGGAATACTTTCTACGGAAAGTGGCTTATATTTACTCTACACATGGGCAATCATCCCGATTCGAACTACCAACGTTCAGCAGTCAACTATTCAGCGCGTTTCAAGATTTTAACTCAATTTACTATCTAATACCTTTATGCACATAAAAAAAATATTAAAGATCAGTAGTTAAAATAGAAGTACAATCCTGTCTTTTGTGTCTTAGGCCCTCCCCCCCTCAAAAAAATTTTTATGTGTGGAAAAATATAAACTAAAAGCACAGTAATAAAATATATTTGTCTAGCAGCAGTAAAATTTTGCAATTAAAATGCACGTATTATGTCTTGATCTAAAATTTCAATCTTGTGTCAAGGAAAAATCTGGTCGAAAAACGATGGTGAAGAACAACAACCAAAAAAAAAAAAAAAAGAAGCTGGCACAAACCATTTGCTGGAACAGATGGGCAGCAGCACGACAAATTGTAGGTGAATAATTTCCAAGTGCGTCAAGGGTGGCTACCTTATTGGCGAAAAACCAGAAATAATGGTTGCTGTAGCCCTAGGAGCACCAAAACTGGTTCATTAGCTGGAAATATTTGCTTCGTCCGATGAATCTTATGTCCTGCTCTATGATGGAGATAACCATGTCATATGGCACAAAGAGAACTAATTCATACATAGACTCCACTTATTTAACAACTCAAGCTGGTGGCTGTAGAATTATAGTACAAGTAATATTTTCCTGGACCATAGGTACAAGTGGGCAGGCCATCAGAAATTCACCATTGGTCAGACAGGTATAGTCTTACCACAATTTTGAGAGAAAACACCTCAGAGGCGGTCCAAGGTTCTCCCATACCTACCATAACCTCTCGAGTGGAGTACCGACTTGCCGTATGTTTTGAGTTTCCCCTTGCTGCAAAGACACTATGCACTCACAAATATCCATGTCTTCTCTGGGATTCGAACCCGGGCTCATCATCACAGCAGTAAATGCCACTAACCACTATGCCTGGACAGCTCTAAGTACCACAACCTTACCTCAATACCACTGCCAATCAAGTACACTCGTTTATGGCTAGGATGGTCACTTTTAGCAGTGACGGTACCTTGTCACCGTGTACGACTGATGTTTTATTCGTTTGAAGAGTATGACTCAGATTTCTAACTGCTTCAACGACCAACTCATATTGGGGCTTGACTGGCTACCAGGTGCTTCGGGAGGTGGCGGATAGTCGGATGTCCTGTATTATCTAACAGGATAGCTTCAAATAATAAATAAGAAGCTGCAAGCCCCCTCCCGTTACCCTGGTGTTACGCGACCCACACCTAGGGTGAATGACACTGCCGTTATAGTGTCTTAATGGAGCCTCTAGAAGGCCTGGCAACTTCTATTTTGCCTTACCCAGAAACATGCAATACTGGGTGGACCTTTTTTATCCTGTACTTTCTTTTCTAGTTTATATATGACTGAAAATGGCAATGTAACTAGAAATTCTACTTTTGCAGGCAAAACCTCTGATGTAGACCTTTTTTTCTCAAAACAAGGAAACCCATAGGAAATCAATCGAAGGAGCAGAAATGAATCCATCGAGTGAGGTAGAAATGTCCTCTACTTAAGCTACACAATCAACATTTGGAGAAGGGCAGGAAGCTATTAAAAGCTTGACTGCCTGTCTAAATAAAATCAAAAACAGAATGTCCAAAGCACAGAAAAAAAGAAACGGGACCGAGAACTGAAAATTGCCCAAGTAACTTGGTTTGAAAAACCCAAGGAGAAAGGGGGCGAAAGGCAGCCTCAAAGGATGGAGCAGAATACAGCTCTGACGACTGATAAAAGAGACACCTGAAAGTTATACAGTACAAAGTCCATGATCCGGACGTACATTATCCGGAATGATCTATAATCCGGACCTCAAAGCCAGAAACTTTTTTGTATGTTTTACACATGCGCATTTAATGTATACGAACGGTATAAGCTAGGCTAAAATTATCTTTACTGATTCTAAGACATTTCAGTTAATGTTGCCGATTACACTGTTCCTTAATGTTCTAATTGGATCCGGCTTATTATTTTTTGCAGACTGTTAGAGCAATTTTATAAAAATTAAGCTGACTTCGATTATTTCCAAAAAGATTTCCAAAGCGTACAAATCTCGATGAAGTTAGCGGTATTCTCGACATGCAATTACAGAACTTAACGTAAACTTTGTAATGAACAAGAAATGTGCTGTTTAGAATTAAAGAGAAAGTATTTGCACAAAAAGGAAGACGTTTATCGAAGGAACAGGCTACTGACCTTGAACTTCTGATAACATTGACTACTTAAGGTAATCTCAATACTAAAGAGTTACACTTGGGCTCTATTATGGGAATGTTTGACTGTATAAACAAAGTGAGCGACCCAAACAAATGGAGCTGGAAAGCATTGGGTTTGGTGCGTTTAGCACAAAATGCTATTTAGCAGAGCTGCCTGATACTTGACAAACTCAACCTGAAGATGACCAACTCATTCTTCTGACTTAAAATCATATTTAGCATTTGTGGAACGATTACTTAAGAGCTTGGAAATGTCATTATTCACCGAGCACCTACCTACCATCCCAGTTTCAACCAAGTTCTTCAAGGAATGCAATCCAATATTACATTCCTTCTCTTGCAACCCCTTAATTTTCCCCCCAGATTTTAAGGATGCGCATTCCTTGAGTACAAGTCACAGATAATTTACTGCACGTGCATGCTAATTCTCAGTACTTATGCCAGCTTTTCTGAAATGCAAGTGGGGATTAATTTTATAAATTAGAATGTTTTGCAGATCACTTAATTTTTGTCCTCTATGAAAGCAATTTTCATCATATGCTTTTACCAAAATACAAAATTAAAATTAAATAAATTTTATGTTGGTATTGGTTAATTAAAATATTAGAAGAAAATTTATATTTCATTTTAAAAATTCAAAGCTGTATAATAATTTTAACTACAATTAAATGCTGGCACTCATGAGATGGATGAGTCTGCCAATTCCTGCAAAGCTGTTTTACGTTTGGCTGTATGCTCATAACAAGAGTTAAAAGTCACAATGGTTTAAATCCTTCTTTTTTTGCTAAGATGAGATGTCCATAGGTAAGGATAATCAATCAGTAATAAAATTTCATATGGAGAAAATGTGATGGACGATTCACATATGTAATTTTCAAACTCTGAGATATTTATTCACAGAGTCAGCACGTATAATATGCAGTTAATTAGATTTTTTGTCTTTTTTGGAAATCTACAGGACCACAAGGACAGGCTTCAAGGACCACTTGTGGTCCATGCATCACATATTAAGAAACACTGGCCTTTGCAATTTCATGAGTTTTTGTTAGCAATATATTAACAATGCTACACCTTGCAGCGTGTCTTAATTTGCATGGCTTAAGACATGCATATGGATGCCTTTAAATTACATACATATGCATTATCGGTCACATTTTTTCATGCAAATTCTTAACATTTAGTAAATAATCTAAATGACTGTCATCTGGTAATACAGTAAGTCAAGTGAAAGAACTTTCTGTATGGAAGTTCAAACAAATGTATTTTCCCCCCTTCCTTTAAACACAGCATATCTGGTGAACTTCATGTACAGAACTATATTCACAATGCACAACCAAACTCCACTCACACTGAACATTAAATGGCAAGAAATAAATATTTATTATTATTGAATTATATGGCTGCAAAATCATTAGAAGCTTTCCCACTGCAAAAAACCAAAAGTGTAAGATCTATTTGCACAACACTGGAATAAAAATGTAAGCAATTTCACCCAACATTATTAATATTAAAAAAAAAACATATTCCCAAACAAGCACAAAATACATAAAGTATTCTTTTCTATCTAAATAACATGACCGTAAGTAACTTCATTGGCAAATATTTTAATAAATAAATCCAGACATGATTTTCTACAGTTGAGAAATTTTGAAGTGATTAAAAGCAATGAAAACAATTTCAACAAGTTTGATGAGGATTTTTAACATTTCTATGATACTCAATGGTTTTTGGTAAAATATGTTTTACAATTATAATGAAAACAAACACCATATTTTACACTCAGATTAAATTATTTGATATTCTCTTCACTAATTTCCCATTAGTGGAAATTTTACGTTACTAATATATAAAATGTCACTATGATAAGATACATGAAATAATTCTGGCAATGCATTAATTTACCAATAAGTAAACAAATGGACCTTTTCCAAGGAGTGCTACATTCTCATAGCAATATCTTAACAAAAAACTTTACATAAAACTATTAGATTTAGCAGAAAAAAATTGTTTTATCTATTACACAAAGACTTTGCAGATACATTACTCAAAAATGTTAAAAATTTATCACAATGATTTTGGAAAACCAGTTCTATATACAGGGCAGTCATAAAAAAGAACTTCCTTGATATATGAACTCCTAGCGACTAATTCACTCAACCAATCGAAATGCAATTTCAGATATTGTTATTTAACAGAATTCACTTATGAATGTTTTGATTTAAAACAAAATAGCTCACGGTTATGGTTGCAGTGAAAATTTTCAAATGTCAACACTCGCCTTTTTTCGGCACAAATTAATCAGCATGTTGATAAATCATAAATGTCATTGGAACGATACACATAAGATGAAAATAGCTAGCATAAAACATTTACAAAGAACATTCCAAAGGAGCAATAACAACACAAGACAAGAGAGGGGGGAGGACTTATATTGGAATTACAAATTTTCAACATGTACAATATTTCAAGATAGAGGTACCTCCCATAACTTTGCAGTTTTGTGGCTACTGCAATCCCCAACCTCACTGCAATTAATTTCTGTTTCTGGGTTTTTCTAAAGTCCATTACATCCATGAGATTTGTCAGAATTGAAAGGTTCCATAAAACGTAGCTATACAGATTCCTCCTGCAATGTTACATTCGTCATTATTGGCAACAATCTTCCACTTGCAATGCATTATCATTTGCAAAGAAAGGCACTTGAAAACTAGTAATTACAATAAAAGATCTTTTCCCTTCAATCTCTTGTGTTGCCACTGGTCCTTAAAAATGCTCTATGTAAATATTTAATGCTGCCAATTTTCGTCATACATGTATTGGTCCAATGCCCTTTATAGTTTTTCAAAGCGCCGATCAATTTGCACAGGAAAAAAAAAGTTGTTGCCTTTAAAATATTTTAATGTAACCATAATCATGACAGCTCGTTTTAAATTATCATATACCTTCCAATATCAAGATCTGAATTTCTGATTGGTTCAGCAGATGGGCTCCTATGAATTTATGAATCAGGAAAGTTTTTTTATGACAACCCTGTATAAGGCCACCTTTTCTTAAGACTGTTTACACTACAACCAGCACCAGATACATTACCTACTTGGCTTGGAATATCTTTCATGCACCATTTGACTGGCTGAATAATGGTTTTATTTTTTCCCCTTCCTATTCATTACCAGTTGCCACTGAGATTGACAGTTAATTTATCCACAAGCTGAAAAACTTAAAATATGCCATCTCAAACTTTTCACAAGATGAGGCATTGCTTAAAAAATATTATGATAAATAAAGCTTACAAATCATAAAAAAGACTATTTTTAAAATAAATTTGGCAGAATTTTTATTAAACAGTGCTTGATTTGCAAATCATACATTCAAAGACAAAAGTATAGTCAAATTTGATAGAAGAGAAAGATAATCTTCCTGGATAACAAACTATAGAAAATTTTAAATAATACTTTACTAGGCTAAAATAATAAAAAATGAGAATGAGAAAACTGAAATATTTCTAAGATTTATATGCTCCCAGCATAATCACTTAAAAGGCCCCCAAAATTTCCCTCTCTATATATGTCATGATAGCATATTTTCAGAAGCACTGAGACATAGATGCGTAGAAATGTTGATTGTGAAGATACTTGATGCTTAGAACATCCATCCATTTTGAAGAAACAGTCGAGCCAGATTAAATTCACATCTGTGGCCACAATTCACTTGGCACTCCAATCGTGCCTATTTCCAGAACAATTTTGATGCTATTGCGATAGAAGCGAACATAGAAGATTGCAGCAGCGTCTTAACAGGATGAAAGCCTAAGCGAGAAGAGAAAGATTGTTGCAGTAGTAATGCTGAAGAAGGGAGGGAGCAAAAGTTTCAGTTCGAGTTAGTTTTGGTTTACAATTATTTTGATTGGGCAAGAGGTATCTGTATTAAGCGTTACGCAAGATCGCATGATTAATTTGAATGACGCGGTTTAGACTTATGGTACTTTAGTACAGAGACATGAAGTCCCCAGATTGAATATAAAATAAAGGAGGTTACAGCCAATTTAAATTAGAAATTTGCTTTCATATTTTATATCTTACACACACACACACATATGTATTATATTATAAAGTAATGAACCTCCTTTGTGCTTTTATTTTAAAAGAATGACTACTGTTACTAACATTTTATAATTTTTTTTTTCCTCTTGCCTTTTTTGAGATGTGAGACTGATGTTAATTTTTCTATTTACTACAACAACAAAATTTACACACAATTAAATTTACTACTTCATGAAAGACTGATTTATGACTCGGACAATTCAATTATATTCCAAGCCAAGCAGTTAATTTTCAATTGGAATTTTATATGTTGGAAGACTGTTGTAAAGTATTTTAAATCTTTTTAGAATTCAGATTATATTGCACAGTTGGAGAACACATACCTGCTAATAAAATTTTCTTATAATTTAGAATCACAAGAGATTATGTAACAATAAATGGCACATAAAATTAGGACCTAAGAAAATACTTCCTACAGCAAACTACCTAGTGATAAAATTTAACTATCCTCACTGTAAAATCTAAAAATTAATAATAAATACTAGATAGGAGAGACTTTTCGGTAACATTAAAATATTAATATGCACTATATGTTTAATATGTTCAGCTGCGACTGGTTTATCAGTTACAAGATTATTCTTTCACTTCAAATACATTAAATAATTTTTATTTTTGTAATTCAAGCAATTTTTGTAATATTACTTCAGCATAATCATCAGATTCAACTGAAATTTTACAGAAATATGAAGAAAATAATGACAACATAAAAAAATATATTTAAAAAATTTAATAGCAAAATTCATATGCACTCAAACACTTTTTAAATGGTAATTAAATCAGGAATATAAATAAACTATGCATAATGAGCCTTCCATATGCAATTAACAATTTAGATAATATCAATCTATTTTTAGTATTTTCACTTTTAAATTTTGGTTTTCCTAATATTTGACTATCAATACAGTTTCACCATAAAATTTTCCATCCACTTAAAAGCATTTTGCAAGGCATTACACTTCAGTGATGTATATACATGATAATCTAGGCAATTTATATTTAGGTAGATTTAAAACTAAAGAGATCTAAGTTACATAACAAATATACATATATTTAAAATTCTACAATAAGCTTCCAAAAAAAGTTAACTTATCAAACAGCACAAATTTTTTCAAACTTAAGATGATGTAATACCTTTCATATATTATTAAAAGGATAAAATAAAAAAATTGAGTTTGTTTTATTATATGTGAAATACATTTTCTGTGGGGGGGGGAATTCACAATACATGCAGCTTACAAGGAAAGCTAGAAGCTAACAAAGAGTGAATATTAAAATTGCCTTATATTAAGAAACTTTCAACAAATGAAATAAAAATAGTATGCTCTGTGAAAGTTTTTTAATGACAGACTTTAATAGTGTTCTTAATATTAACCCCATAAAATTTCAATTATATGCACACATCACAAAATGATCATGATGACTAGTATAACTAGGTTTCCCAATAAAATGAAGGGTAGATGTAAGACAAAAACACAGAAAATCTATAGCATAAGAATCTTTAATACAAGAACAACTTTAAACACGAATTAACAAATATACATGGCAATGAGTTATACAGACGAGAGCCTCAGCTCATGCAACTGAGTTCTATTTTCCGACTAGCTTAATTTTCACTGGCCACCACCCAAGTTCACTCATCTAAATGACTTCTTAGTACAGATAATTGGTATATCTTATTTACTTTATAGATCTGCGGCTGCACAATAAAAAGATATCTACAACTACATTTTCTTCCCAAAACAGAAGAAATAGATTCCTGTGATCATTATTAGTAGCCGATACAATTTTTTTATGGAATCATGGTCCATGCTAAAATATATTTATCAGATTAAGGCATAGCAACCATCAATACTTAAATGGAGTGATCAATTCCCCTCCTTTAGAAAACTTAACGAGGAAAGTGCAGGCTCACATCACAATTACCACACTAAGCACTGACAATAGCCTGTTCTATAAAACAAGAGATATTAAGAAAAAAACAGAATACTAGTTAGGACCTGGGGGAAATATTTCAAGACAATAAATCACAAGGCAGTTTCACACAGAATCTTGATATTAAAAACTTCAGCTATGACATGAAACTTAAAACTATATACAGCAGCTAATGAAGAAATGTGCTTTTCAGCAATTGCAAGATAATAGAACAATCTTCTGTGCCAGCACTAACCATCTGTAAAAAATGAACAATAGCACTGTTGTCTCATACAAATGTCACATACCAATCCCCAATATTCTTGGTTTCATATTGTAGTTTTACACCAATGCTTTTTAATACAAAACTTCTACAGCTACAAAATAAAGAGTTCATTCTTCCCACAACTTTGTTGCTTTGGCAACAGACAAATATACAGCTGTCTTCTCAACTGGGCACACGGATGGAACACAAAGTTTTTGATACAGTCTATTATCCTAAAATGTGACAAATATACTGTACACTATACACAGAGACATCAATGTTGCTCTGCATTTTTCAGCTTGTATTAGCATTTCTACAAAATGCACAGTAAATATTATAATAAGAGAAACAAAGCAGCTCTGCAACGATTTTTAACAACCAACAACATAATATATTAAGATGCAACAAATCTATGCACTGAAAACAGAGCTCGTTGGTGTAAATCATGCATGTTACAAGACACTTCTGTTTTGACATAAATAAAATTAGATACAATAAAAAATCATTTGGTCACCACTTTTAAAGTTTTTAAAACTTCAGCAATAAGCAATCGTGTGAAATATTACAATTCTTCATGCACAGTGATGGCAGACTGGGTTTGTATGGGATTTGGTATGTATATTTTTTGTTTCCACATGCATTACTTTATGAATTATCATTGGCAACACATTGGCTCTTCTTTCCTGTTAATAAATTTTATGCCCAGCTGAAAAGGGCTACAAGTAGACTCCACATCAGGGAGTATAAAATGGATGCAAAACATTAAAAGTCAGCAAACTCCTTGGCACACTTTTCTGTTGATGATATGCGCAGTGCCTCTTCCTCATAATCATCGAAATTACTAGTATCCCCTGGTCCTTTGCATTTTGGAATGAAAGGAGCTTCCACCTGTACAAAAATAAGCAAAATAATAATATAAACTCGTATAGATATAATTAAAACATAGAAAAAAAAACAAATCTCATTCTTTAAAACAATACAATTATTTTAACTGATGGGAAAAATTAAGCACACACAATATTAAAAATCATAAAATGATGCTCAAGACTGCAAAGCTGTTAGATAATCTAGTCATAATTTTAATATAAAATTACATGGAAATATGTTCAGAAGCACTCAATTAAAAATTTTAAATAAAATGAAGGCATACAAATATTTTATTTTGATAAGATAAGAAATTTAAATGTACATCGTTAAATTTTATGAAAATACCAATACATGAGTTATATCTCTGCAATATGTCAAAAATACATCACAGTAAAATAAATTACTATCAACCTTTTAATAATATTAAAAAGAGATCAAATTTTAAATTGATTCCAAAAATTATAGCACACAGAATAAGAGAAAACTTACATTTTTAAAATTCAACACACAGTGGGGGGGGGATTAGTAGATTAACAGAATTCCATTAAATTCTTTCAGAGAAAAACTTTTAACAATATTTATGATTAACTTTTTTAAAAGAAAATTAAACAAAATACATTTGAAAAATATATAAAGCTTATAATAAATATAAAATGAAAGAATATACATGATATCTATAACACAAACAAACCTGAAAGTCACTTTCTGTTGCATTTACAGACAAACCTGGAGCCACATTTTTTCACAAAATCGAGAGCAAACCACATGAGATAATGCAAATAAAGTACACATATATTACATAAATGCTTTTACTGAATGGAAAATGTTAATAAAATTATGGGGGAGCATAATACGCAGAAAAAACTAACAAACAATAGGCCTTATTGTTATTGCTATAATATTTATTGAAACATCATCCTTGTTCAACTTAATGTCAGATGATTTATAAATGCAGTCAAATTTTTAAATACTCTCTTAAAATTCTTCAAATTAAAGTATGTATTTTGATGTTATTTTTACAAAATTCCATATTTCTCCACCGTTACAGATGACCTGCACGCACATTACTTACCAGAAATAATTTTGTACACCTAATAAATGTTTATAAAGAAATGCAGATCTTTTAACAAAGAAATTTTTTAACATAATTGGCTTCTGACATTTGTAAAGGAACAGACAGAAAACAAATTTCTTGCTATTTCATTCCCTCTACTTTGAATCCAAAGTAGAAATTTAAAATTAAGGTCTACAAGGAGTTTTAAAAGGTTTACATGCACTTTAATTTCTTTAATATTGACCAAAGACCAGAACATAAAATTTAACTTTTTGCATGGTCTCCACAAATCAAGGAAGTCCAATAGTCAAATTTTCAGTAGGCTTTAAAACAAACACAAGAAGTTCCATACTCAAGAACTTAAAATTTATGCACATATTTCAGAATGAATTAACTGAATTAGATTATTTTTTTTTGGCCTATTACTATGTGATTTTGACATTAAAAAAATCTACAAACTGAAATTTGCTCATTCTGGTGATAAATGACTGTACTAAATAAAACGGCAGCACACTTCAGCAGCTTTGTTGCTGACCATGAAACAATTACTAATGTCTCTACAGATTCTGCACACATAGGCATGACATGTTTAACTACTTAAAAGCATAAAAACCATTATTCTAATTGAACTTCTTGCTCTAATTTGCATTTACAACCAACCGGATCATTTATTATTCTCCTTGAGATCTGTACTCGGAGGCTTCAGTTCTGGGAAGAAAAGCATTTATGTTGACCACTCCTTTTTCTTTCCTTAGGGAGCTGCAAAACTCACACTGAGAATGCATGAAGTTGGCAGGCTTTAGTTCAGAACTCCCCCCTCCCAATATAACATTGAGAAAAAAGTGTTCAATCTGTACCTGTTTTTATTAGCAGAAACGTGTTAACTTATTTAAAATCCTTACTATCTGCATAAAAACCTCCCACTCCAATGCTGAAATTTTCCATAAAATATTCTACAATATTGTGAGAAACTTTATAATTTGGAGTGCTAATCTAGCCCCTTCGCGCCGGGTAGCGCAAACGCGTGCTTATCGCGGAGGCCGGCAGTGTCTTACGCGAGCATCTGTCCAGGGCCGGGGGCTTTTTTGCTATTAAGCCTAAATCTATGAAATTTCTGAAGTATCAACGCATTGTTTAATGATGCTCTATAGAGTATTTAAACGGCCTATGCTTTATAGATATTTTTATATATACTTTAATTACCTTATTTCTTGTTTAAATGCATATTTTACACATTTTATTTTCCTTACTCACCATTTTATGACTCTTAACATTATACGTCTGAAAACTAAATATGTTACTTAAAATTCTCTTTTCATATGAAAAATTTGAAAACAGGGATCTACACACAGTCCTACGTTACATTCCTTGCACTCGTAATAACTCATTTGCCGTTTTGGAGGATTTTTCCGGGAATGTGAACAAACGAAGCATCGTCGTCTCATTTTCTTATCAGTCTCTTCTGAACAAAGTTTTGAAAAATGTGATAGTGATACTATGTAACGTAGTATCCTAGTGATACTACGTTGCATAGTATCACTATCACTACTATCAGAATCTGTTTCAGAATTAATATCTGAAATATTTTGCATCATTTCTGCTATTTCATGCTCTGTTAAACATTTTCGACGCTTCGACATTGCAACGGTAAAAACAGAAAGAATTCCCGTATAACAAGATCTAATTATTTTCTAAATACTGCATTGCAAACCGAAATACCCAACGCTTTAGCGAAAAAAAACCTTCTCTACTTACAATAAACAACTACCACGTGCAAATTTAAAGAGACGTCATAAAGCACGCCATTCGGAAAGATTTATTTCCCCTTTTGTTTATATAATCAAAAACACGTGTATGTGAGTCATGCTTCTCTCATTTCGAGTAGAAGGTCTAATGTACATGTATCTGAAACCATATGGACATACAGTCCATCTTGTGACAGAAATTATAGTTTTTAAAACGTTCCAGGACACTGGCACAAATACGTGACAGTTGGGGCTGAACGGCAAAACGCTCTGGCACGCCTGCGTGTCGGCCGGGAAGTGAGTGTGTTCGTTGCTGGCCCGTAGACATGACAGTCGGCGCGAAGGGGCTAGAAATGGTATTAAAAATAAAAATAAAATAAAATAAAATAAAAAAAAAAAAAAAAAAACATTTCATTTTCAAATTTTGAAACAAGCAAAAACTTGAGAATATTTTAACATGGAATTTTATGGGACATGCAAAAAATGTTTTGATCTACATTTTATAATGATGAAGTGATAAAGACACTGTCTGGATTTCTAATCATAAACTAAGAGACTTAAGCACTGAGACACCCTCTTTAAAAACTGAATTCACATTATTTTATAAATTTAAAGCTAAACAAAAGACGACATTTTGAATAGAAAATTCTTTTGCTCAATTGTACAAAAAACAGAGCTTGTGAAACAGCCCTGTAACTGGCTCTGAACTCCTAAAATTTTGTTGAACTTGTGCCAAACTTGTGGCATTTTATTAAGTTCTAAGACAGTTAAGCTTCACTGCATACAATCGTATCTTTTTTTGGCTTATGTCACAAACATTCACTCAGACTGCAAGGTAGTGGAATTGTAAATAAAGTGCAAGTGAACTAGACATAGGGAATTCTGAACTGCAATTCATGCTACTTTATAATAGATCCTCCCACTTTCATAGCTATCACCTACAGTTAGTAGCTACATTTTTTGAAAAACATGGAGCTTTGTGGACTTCCCAATATGGTGCTGAGTGATCAACTGGATAGAAGTGACTTTTTACAGTTGCTTGTCATATTAGTCCAATGTCTTTTAAAAGTTCAAAAGATTCCAATTTTATAAAGTTTTGAGAAGCAGATCCCTTAATTATAAATTTGTGTCACCAGGAACATTATATTTGATATTCTGCACCACAATTGGTAGTTAAATAAATTTTGTCTTAATCTAGTAGACATGTTAAGTTTTTTTGGGGGGGAGGAAGGGGTGTCAGGCAATAACTCGCTCATTTGTTAAGTTTTACACAGAACTTCTGGCAAAATCCAGTGTAGAAACAGGTTTGTTTCAAGAAAAAGCTTTGTAACTCAACATAAATATTCCCTTTCATCAGTTAAAAGTCAGTTTCTACTCTCTGAACTCCTAAAATTTTGTTGAACTTGGCAAAACTTCTAACACTAAATGCACACAGTTGAGATAAAAACTTACAGCCATTACAGTTCCCTTTTAAATTTTGCCAAAATGAAATTTTATCATTAAATAAAGTATCTGTAATTTCACTTTATGTTTCAAATGCTCTTTTAACATGTTTCTTCCACACTATTTCTCAAGCCATTATCAAAAGGTGATAAAAATATTTTTCATTTAAAAGACACAGATTTAAAACTGTATTTTATGATAATGTTTTGTCTTCACAGAATAAAATTTCAAACAGCTACAATATTCACCAAAGGAAAAGTATTCTATTAGTTTTGAACTATAACATGTATACAAAACAATGCCCCCTTGTGAGAAACTGCATCTGTAAAGCTATGCTATTATAACACAAATATGAAAAGTTTAACTAGAACAAATCTAAATCTGCACAGTAATACCATAAAAAAGTTTCAATATTAGAAATATTAATAATATGTAATTCTAACTGTCTTAAATGATTGAGTTTTACTGCAGAGAACTTTGCAATTGTTTCTGATTTTTATTAAATATATTTATTAACCCAATCTAACACAAGAGTTTCATATGTTCCCTGAACATTACTAACAGTTTCTAAATTCTTCTTAGTAAAACTAATTTCATGTAATCTAAAAGACTAATTTTATGCATCAGAAGAAGAATTTTCATTAATACATAGTTGACAACCTTGAAATCTTAAGAAATGGAGGTTTTTCACACTGCATGGTGACCAATTCACTAATAATTTTTAAATTCACTTATGTATGGTTCAGGTTATTGAATTATTCATAATGCAGTTCTGGTGA